TAGAAGAAAACTGCTTTAAGTTAGATAAAGCTTTACAAGCAATGTCTAATAGACAAGATTCTCATGTAGTTCAATTTCATATGGAAAAAACTGAGTTAATCCACTTTACTAAATTATTTAGTGAAGATAACTCAGTTAAACTACATGATCAAGTTTTTAAACCAAAAAAACTAGTGGGATAGTTAGGTATTTGGCTTGACAATACTCTTACTTTCAAGAACCATGTTCAAATTAAGATATCAGCTGCTGAAAGAGTTCTTAATTAAATAATCAGACTTTCAAATACTGGAAAAAGTCTTACTTTTCAAGCTATGAGACAACTTTATATAGCTTGTATTACTTCAGTAGCTGATTATGGTGTTCAGATTTGATGGAAGAATCAAAAGAATCTTCTCCATAAGTATGAGAAACTTTAAAACTCTGCTTTAAGAAAGGTTCTAGGAGCTTTTAAAACTTCTCCAATTTATGCTATGAAGATTGAAGCTGCTATTTCTCCTGCTAAAGTAAGGTTTAATAGACTATGCAGAAACTATGCTTATAGACTATTAAAAATGCAAAAAGAATATACAATCAGAAAAAGAGTATCTTCTAGCTTTCCACCTTATAATAATGGTGTCAATCTTGATTGGAGAAGGTTTTTAGATTGGAATCAATCAGAATTAAATAATGAATATGTTGTACAAACATCAACTAAAAGAAAAAGAAAAAGAAGAAAAATCAAGTATCCAAGTCAACTATTTAGAATTTGTTCAATGATTTCAAATATATTACCTTTTCTAAAAACAGAGAGAATCAAAGCAAAATAGAATGCACCTTGGTCTGAAAACCTAGCTGATTTGATAGATATTCAAATTGAAAATTCAGACAAGAAAACAGCTAAAGATAGTCACATAAATAGAATTAAAAATCTAAATAATAGACCTTTAATTCTCTATTCAGATAGATCCAAAGCTGAAGAAAGTCAATATGCTGGTGCTGGTGTATACAATCTACAAGATAATATTAGATTTTCATGAAATCTAGGAAAATATTTTGAAGACTTTGATGCAGAACTGTTTGCTATGGATAAAGCATTTAAATTAGCAAGTTCTACCTCTCAGTCTCAATCAAGATCAATATCAGATATCTGGGTGTTTTCTGATAGTCAAGCTGCTATTCAGAGACTCATAAATCAAGATCTTAATTCTGGCTTATATTATCTTCAATCTATAAGAAAAACTGCTAAGTCTATTAAAAATCAGCAAATTAATCTACATCTTCATTAGGTTCCTGCACATGTAAATATGCATGGAAATGAACAAGCTGATCTAGCAGTAAAGAAAGCTACAGAATTAAATCAAGTTTGTTCTGAAAGATATATATCTCTTACTTATATAAAAAGACAAATAAAAGAACAAGCAATGATAGAGTGGTTTGAAGATCTTTTTAATAGAGAAAGTTCTACAAATCACTACTCTCAATTCAAAATAAAATCCAGATGGAAAGCATCTACTGTTTCTATATCTAAGAAGATATGGTCAACTATTTGCCAATTAAAGCTTGGTCATAGATATTTTAGATCTTATCTAATAAGATTATCTGACTACTCTTTTAATTTATGCTATTTCTGTAATTGTGTTGAAAATCCAAAGCATCTACTATTAGACTGCTCAGCTTATCATACTGAAAGAAGAAAAATTCAACAAGAACTTAATATTTCTCAACTATCTTTAAATTTTATTTTTGAAACTCAATTAGACTTAAAATGGCTAGTTTTATTTCTGAAATGTACTGGAATAGCTACTAGATAGTGGCTTTTCCAAATATGCTAATTTTATTTCTTTTTGATTTGTATCACATTGCTACAAGAATTATTATTTTCCTTTAAAATTAATATTATGTCCTATCTGCTATTTGACTTTTGTGGAGAAAGAACATCTCATATTGCCTTGAAATACTTTGAATTTTTTTCTTTATTCAGTTTCTACAATATATACTAAGTAAATTCTAACAGAGAAGCTGTTAGGTAGTCTTCATAGTTACTGACTGTGTAAGACTATAATGAATAATAATAATAATAATAAATATAGATTCTGTTACTTTTTATATTTTTGCCAATAACTCCACAACCATTAATTGTACACATATGAGAATACCACCTTTCAAATTGTCTCTCTGACCTGCTCAGAATGACCCTATTTTTATTAAAAAATATCAACTTTTCCATATTATGTTTTACTCACTATTTGTACTATATATTTTATATTTTTGCTAATAACTCTACTACTATCTACTTTACAGATATAACACTATCTCTGTTCAAATTATCTTACTAACCTGCTTAGAATCTTCTTATTTTCATTATAATATATCTACTTTTGCATCTTATGTTTTACTCACTATTTGCTTTATACAGCTAACCCTAACTTTAATTCTAATTACTTAATTTTCTGTTACTTTTTTATATTTCTGCCAATAACTCTACAATCATTAATTATAGACATGTGAAACTACTACTATTCAAGTTATCTCTTTGACCTGCTTAGAATATCTCTATTTTTGTTAAAATATATTAACTTTCACATCTTATGTCAGTGTCAGTATTTGCTATATAAAATATATATATTTACTAATAACTCTATAAAACTACTACTGTTTAAATCATCTCTCTGATCTGCTTATAATTATTTTATTTTTCTTACTATATATTCACTACTTGTGGAGAAAAAGTCCATCTAACAGAAATTACAATTTTAATTACTGTAAAAAATAATACTAATTTATTTTGAATTTTTGTTACTTCTATATTTTTGCCAATAACTCTACAATTATTAATTATGTAAATATAATACTATCATACCTTAAATTATCTCTCTAATCCAGTGCTTAAAATATTCTTATTTTTGTTACAATATATCAACTTTTAAATATTGTATTTTTGTTACTATTTGCTCTATACTTTCTGTTACATCTTCATATTTGCTAACAACTCAAAAACTATTAATTATATAACTATAACAGAACTATTATTTGAATTATGTTTCTGATCTACTTATAATAATTTTATTTTTATTACTGTATCTTAACTTATGCAGTCTTGTAACTTAGTTACTATTTAATTTATATATATATCTGCATCTGCATCTTTTATCTGCATTTTGCATCTGCATCTTGCATCTGCATCTAAATTCAATTTTATTACTGTGCTTATCAGAACTCTAATTCATCTAAATACTTATTTCAGTACTTTGTACAACTCTAGTCTACTTAAATATTTATTAAACTACTTACTAGCTCTCTAACTCTGTCTTACCCTCTTTTTTGTTGATTAATTATTTACTAACTCTGATGCCAGCTATTACTACTTTTAAACTGAAGTAGTCAGACAAATAATATAATTAAAAATTAAAAAAAAAACTTTTATTTTTAATCTTTTTATACTAACTGCAATTCTCTATCTGACTAATTAACCAGAATCTTGTTCTAAGATAACACTCTAAACTTGAAATATATAATTCACTAGAAATATAAACATTTGTCTGATATACAATCTTATTATATATATATAGTAGCTCTCTACTCTAAACTCTTTTTCTAGACCCTATCTTAGTATTTTATTATTATATTTATCTAGCTGACAATAAATATTTGTTTCCAACTGTATCTAGTTAATCTTCTAACCATTTCTTAATTTAACAGCTTCTTATTATTATAAATATAGGCTTAAATTAATCAAGCATCAGATAGTATGAAATCTCCAGAAGATGTTACATGGCCTAACTTGTGAGAATCATACATGTGAATCAGCATAATAAAAATTCTATAGAAGAAATTTTATATAGAAAAAAGTACATGAGATAAAAGATCTGGTATTGGCAACTATCTACAACTTGTAGACAAGATTGCCACTAGCTCTCAACAAGAGATTTATGCAGTGGCAGCCTTTTATGTGTACTTATAAGCATATGACTTAGTGCCTTGCAAGAACACATGTACTTTCAATAGCTCACAAGCTGAGGCTCTGAACTCTTGTAAGTGTTGTTTGTCTGTATAAGGAGTTTGTGGGTGAATTCTTACATAACTCTGAATATATAATAATAACATAATTCTTACAGATTATAGAAATCTCAGTATTTAGACTTCTAGTTCACAGATTTATATATTCTATATATAACTCTCTCTTATCAGTTGCAGGCATTAATCTACTTAGCTCTTTTGTACAACAAAAATTGACAGTAAAATTGATGGCAAAAACTAACAACCAAAATTAACAACTAAAATTAACAGCAAAATTGACAGCAAAAATTGACAGTCAAAATTGATGATGGTCAAAATTGACAGTAAAAATTGATAGTAAAAATTAATGGCCAAAATTGATGATGCCAAAATTGATAGCCAAAATTGATGACAGTCAAAATCAACAACACCAAAATTGACAGTCAAAATTGATGACAGTCAAAATCAACAACACCAAAATTGACAATGGTAAAAATTGATGACACCAAAATTGACAACAGTCAAAATTGATGGTAAAAATTGATGACACCAAAATTGACAACAGTAAAAATTGACAGCTAAAATTGACAGTGAAAATTGACAACAGTAAAAATTGACAGTAAAAATTGATGATGGCCAAAATTGATGGTAAAAATTGACAACGCCAAAATTGACAATGGTAAAAATTGACAGTCAAAATTGATGGTGAAAATTGACAATGGTAAAAATTGATGATGGCCAAAATTGATGGTAAAAATTGACAATGCCAAAATTGACAACAGTAAAAATTGATGACACCAAATTTGATAACCAAAATTGACAACCAAAATTGACAGCAAAAATTGATGGTGAAAATTGACAGCTAAAATTTACAGCAAAAATTGATGACCAAAATTGATGCTGAAATTGCCAGCAAATATTTACAGTGAAAATTGATGATCAAAATTGATGGTGAAATTTAACAACCAAAATTGACCATAAAAATTGGCAGTCAAAACTGACTTAAGAAGCCAGTGCTGTCACAACTATACTTTCTCTTCTGTATGATGAGTGACCTGCTGAGACACTTGACCTAAATGCCCAATGGTCTTTTGACTTTGTACCTGTGCTTTCTCAAATTCAGACTGATTGGGCACTTGTGTTGTTTGCTCTCTTTCTGCAGCTTTATACTGATATGCCTTCATGGCAGTTCTGTACTGATTGTAATAGAAGATCTCTATCTGTGCAACTTTCAACTATTGCTGTATATGTCTCTGATGCTGTGCATGTTTTTTCTGCTTTCTCACCAGACTTTCTGGGTCAGAATTCTCTTCAAGATCCATTCTGCTCAGTCTTGACTCAAGAAGTGTCAGATTGCTGTTGGGCTGGGGCCAAGAGTAAGACTGCCAGGATTGAGTTGCTATTGAAAGATCCATGCTCTGGATCTGCTGCCTCTCTGTCTCAACAAGAGTCTGGATGTGTAACACAAGCTGAGATGTAAGTTACTTGTGGTTGGTATGCAGCTGGCTTGCAGATTGGCTCTCTTTCTCTGTAAATGAGTACAGAACATGATGTTCAGCTATAGTAGCCTGAAGATGGTGGCTCAGCTTGCTGGAATGCACATCAATAGCCAGCAAAAAGACTACTGGATTGGGGAACATTACTGTAGGAACAGAATGTTGACCTTGTTCAATGGCAAGCCAGGCATCAACATTACTGGGGACTGAGAGAAGGGCCACATCCAGAGGCAAAGATTGACCACCAGCCTCCCAATCTGCCAGGGACAGCTCATCAATCATGTCCAGCTTAATGATGGTGAGTTCTGGCTGGTACTGCTGAAGGTAGTTAACCAGTTCTGAATGGGTGCTAGTTCAGCTTTGCAGTTTCTCTTTCTTTCCATGTGTCCAGAAGGCTGTCATGCTTGGATAGAGCAAGATTCAGTGGCTGTAGATGAAGGTCTGCTTCACAATTGTTTGCCACTCATGGGCCTGCTGAACCCCATACATGTGGATGATGATATTAAAGAACTGGTGAAAGAGAATCTGATACTGCTTTAACTTTCAGTGTTTCTGCAGCCAGTCACTGTTGTTTTCATTGCTGTTCCAGCTCCAGAGTTATGCAAAGAGTATCTCAATGTTCCTGACTTTCATTCTGGAGCCTGTGATGAACTGGATGTCTTTCTGAAAGTGGAAATGTTGAAAGACTTGTGAGATACCAGCATGGGTGAGTGATATATCATCATTGCCTGTGTTCTCAAGCCTAGTGGAATGGAGTGGCTGCTGGATGATACAGTTAGCCAGGCTTCTGAAGACATTCTTCTGAAAGGCTCTCAGGCAGAGGATCACCAGCAGCTGCAGCAGCAGTGCAGAGTGGGCAGGGTCTAGGTGGACATCCAGCATGCAGCTGAATATGTCATGGAAGAGCATGAAGTCAGACTTGAACTTAATCAGTTGCTGATACTGTGGGTGGTAGATCATCTGTAGAGTTGGGGTGTTGAAGACCATGTGCACCTGATATGGTGGCTTGAATGTCATGGCTGTCCAGTCAAGCTTGTCAAGAAATCAAGTATAGTTATACAGCTCCAGTGTGGATGCCATTCCAAGGCTCTCCTGAATTCTCTTTGTGTTGGAACTTTCTTGAGGTGGTTACACCTGGTGATCAAGCCACAGGCTACTGCTGTAGCTGAGGTGGTTGCCCTGGCCTCCATATGTGCACAGGAGGCATTGAAGAAATATTATCATCATCTGAGTGTGTTTCCAGTGCACTACAGTATGTGGCTGCAGGCTGTAGACCATCTCAAACCTGATGTACAGCTTGTTGATATTCCACCACAGCCACTCCAGAAGCTGGTTGGTGTGATAGTTGAGGAAGAGCACTGGGCATTGAGGCACAACTGTAGAATGATTGGCTAGATTGCTTTTCTGGAGAATTTGGTTCATGGTCTGCAGAATAGCAGCAGTGATCTGGTACTTCTTCTGAGTTCTGTAGGACTGCTGGTGGCAGTTGGAAATGGTGACATGGTACTGTTGCTTGGTGTGAATGTACATGTGCAGCAAGGCCAGAGAGGAATAGCTGATAGCCTTTCTGATATGCTGCCAGATCTGTACCAGTCTGGAATCCAGAGCTAATGTGTCCAGATTCTCATTTGCAAATGGGGAATGCTTGCCAGTCATGAAGATTTTCTTGATGATGTTGTAGAACTGGCAGTAGAGCAGACCCTGGTGATGAAGTGGGGAGCACCAGTGTGGCTCTAGTATCATGAACTCCAGATCACACAGGAATGATAGTGGATAGAACTGCTTGCACCAGAACTCTTCCTGTAAATGTTCATGTTCTGAATCAGAAGTCTGGACATTGGCAACTGGTGTGCCACCTGCTGAATGTTCACCCAGGTTGCTGGTATTCTCATCATCTTTATCTTCACTGCTCTTACTAAGCTCTGGCTGGTATGCATCTTCATCTTCACTCCTGAGTGCCAGCTCCACTGACCTGTGTTGAATGTTGCTGGAGTCTGAGGCCTTGGACATCACTCTTTGCTGGACATGGCTGTGAAGTTGGTGAAACTGTTGGAGCTGGACAGCTGCTGCTGAGTGATCATTGTTAATCTGCATCTCCATTGAATTGTCTGGTAAGCTATCAGGCTCAGATGAAGTGGGAGAAGAGATTCTTTGTGCAGCTGGTGAATCTCTCAGCCATTTACAGAAATGATCCAGACAGCAATGTTATCAGATGAATGTGCAGGGTGTGTGTGTTGGCTTCTGGTGTGACAGAAAGCTCCAGAGTGAGACCATCTTCTTGCCAATATTGTAGAAGCTGATGGTCAGATAGTACCTGTCCATGGCCCAATTTTACATGTGAAAGAAGGCATCACACATGCTGGACCAGGTGGCATGCTGGGTTGAGAGCTTCAGATTCTTAGTGGTTAGAAGAAGTGTGAGTCTCTGAAAGTGCTGAAGCTCTGGATCTTGAACAGTTATCTGCATGTGCTTCCAGAGATGGTGAAGTTCTGCTGGCTGTAGTGAAAAGTGGAACTTCTGTACCTGTAGCTGCTTATGAAAAGTCTGATTGCAGTCTTCTGCCTGAGCTGCAGTGGAACTGAGCTGGACATGTGTGATACTGAATGGCAGATGGAGAAGTGTGGATGTGAAGTAAATATAGTGAAGAGCTGGAAGAAAGATCTTGTCTGTCCAGAGAGCATACTTCTGCTCTGTAATAATGTAGTGCTGGTGCTGGGGGCTGAAAAGCCAGAGGAAGAGAATGTAGATCTCAATCTCAGAGAATCTAACCAGTTGTCCAAATGGAAGGTAAGAGATCTGGTGAACTGGTCTCTGGAACTGGTGAACTCTTTTGGTCTGCTCATCTCTCTACTGAACTGAAATGAGATTCAGATGAAGAGAACTCTTCAGGTTGCTTGTCAGAAACTGGTTAGCTTTCCATTGGAATCTCTTACAGGCCACTGTGAGACTTGAGACCAGATCACTGGTGCTATCAATGTTAATCATGGCATGCAGGGATGCTGGCATTGGAATAGTATCACCTTCCAGATTAATGGTCACAGGGTGTGGAGGCACTTTCTCATGGGCTAAAGGCTCTACTGATGCAGACATCCCACTGTATAGTCTTTGGTGCTGATGAACTGGCAGGATGGTGTCCCACTGTATGGGATAGGAAGACATGCTGGTGTGCTCTAAGACATCTGAACATTTCCAGCTTGCCATCTGTGAGAGAGATACTGTTGGTATGGAGAGTGGCTCTGATGCAGCATGAGTCTCAGTAGAGCATTTATGATAGATCTGCAGCTGTGCCACCAGCTTCTGTGTAAGTGTGTTGTCTTCTTCTGTTGGTTCCACTGTATTTGTGGGCAGGAAGAGTTCATGGTCTAATCTTGGCCCTGGTGTACTGGGCCTGGACAGGCCTGAAGACATTAGCAGTGGTGCTGGATCTAGAATGTAGTTAGAGGTTTAAAATGCTTGGTCATCTTATTCTGTTGTAAATAACTGACCATCCTCACTACTGCTGGATTCTGCTGGTGATGGAGAGCTCTTGTGCTTCATTTTGTCAGACTTGGATTCAAGCAAACCCTCTTCAATCATGTCTGGTGGCTCAGAGCTTCTGCACTCAACAGATACTGCATCAAGAGCTTTCTGTAGGTCTGCAAACACATAGACTGAATCCTCAACAGACTGGAAAAGACTGGCTGTACTTTGGGAATTGCAGGTCAAGAAGATATTCTGGAACAATATTAATGTGCTTACTGATGTAACTGCTTGTGGCTGCTGTTGTTGTCTTTAATATACTTGCACTTGTGCCTGAACTGCATTCCTCTCAGTTGCATACTTGTGTGGCTGCCCATGGCCCATGCTGACTGAAGTGGTTTTTACTGATATGCTTGCTGCATGGAGAAATTACAGAGAATGCACTGGAATAATATTAACTCTGAAGTGTCTGAGCCAGAGTCTTGAGGTGGATGAGATTTTGGCTGGGCTTACTGGATGAAATGAACATTTGTGATAGATCAGAAATGCCACTCTTCTGATCATCCCAAGTCTATAAATCTAGTAAAAATGTCAGTCTCTTTCTTCTGCCAACTTTGAGCCTACAATTGAAGCTCTGTTTTCTTCATTGCTTTATTATAATCATCTCAGATTATCTCTTTAATAGTCTGAGGCTTCATTCTGGTCTCTTCTCTTCTCTTTCCTGTTCTTCCAGTTGTTGAATAGATTGCTGTTAACCATGATAGCTCAGAGATATTCCAGTACCCAGCTGTGATCTTCCAGTACAGAGACAGAGCCATGCCTCTCCAGTGCTTTCACTGTACTTTAAAGAAAAAAAGCAAGAAGAACACCAAATCAGCTCCAGTCCCCATTATTAGTGATGGTGGGAAGCAGTTGATGCACACTATTGAACAGTTCTCTGTCAAGTAACATGCCTCTAGGTGGTGAGTAGCAGCTCTGAATCTTATGGTCCTATGTATACCATCAATTAACAGGTGGTTCTGGATAAAGGTCTTGCCCAAACCACTCCTTCCAACAAGAGTACACTATCTTCAAGTTCCATGGGTGTTCCTGCATGTACATTATACAACAGCAAGCCCAATCTGAAAAGCCAGAACTGATGGCTATCTAGCTCTCAATTAGTAATACCAGAAGAGGTTTTGGCTTCTGATGATTCAATTTCATATCAGATGAGCAACAGGCACTCAGAGGTGATCTGTCAAGAGAATAGAAAAGAAAAGACATCTAGATTGAGCCAGAGCCCAGTCCTGGAGGACAGCTGCTTTCAGAAACAATCAAGATTCTTGCTTAGCAGCTCTCAAGTGTCAACACCAACCCAGACACCACAGAGAGAGAGAGAGACATCAGAATAATTCTCCTGCTTGACTGACAACTCTTCTAATGCTGACACTGGCTATTCTGGGAACCATCATCAATAATTAAGTATAATTGGTTCATTGGCAGCATACTCAACATTGGCTTTGAATCTGGATGTGGATCTGGATGAATGGGATCACATCAACAACTCAGTACAGAGGGGTTCAAGAGAACACTTGCTTTGTAGACAGCAGAGAGAGATCAGGTGTGTGGAGAAGATGGTAGAAAGAAGAGCAAATTGCAGAAGCAGGCATTGCAGATGGCCATGCATCTGAACAAGATAGTCTGCTGAAGAGACCACAAGACTGGTGCAGCTGTGGAAGAGGCATGGCAACAACTGGGCTTTAATCAAAGAGCTGGACAAGAATATGCCTGAGCCCAGGCTGTGGAACTGTACACAGATGGACCTTAAGAATTGGATGTGAAATGTGAAGATTGATCTTATGAGGTATGCAGTGGCCTTCTGTATGGGGCAGTCTGGTCTTGTAAACTAACATTTGATCACAGGAGAGATGATCCAGTACTGGATGACTACTGTCAGATTCACCTAGGTGACTGGCATCTGAAATCAATTGCATGAGGGTAGCTAAGACAACAAGAATGAGAATAGCTTCCAGGCACCCTAGCATGGTTGGACAAGTGTTATGGACCCAATGAGATGGTTGGGGAAAGGTTTCATATGCAGCATGGCAGAAGGGAAGCAGTCTATTGAGCTGACTTAGAGAAATAATTGTTCCAAGCTGATCAGATACTTTGCCTGTGAAGCCACTGCTGGACATGCTGCATAAAATTTGGCAATTCTGGCTTGAATTATATGCATTCATTAGTAAATTACAGTAGCAGGAAATATCATGCTGAAAACATCAGAATGAGAGTAAAAGAAGACACTGTAGCAGATTCAAGATAATACAAGGAAAGCTGAAGAGAACAGATCTATAGAAGAGAAGATATGCAAATGATAAAACCCAGACTTCTGTCACCCAATTCAGAGAATCCATCTTGCAGTCAATGTTTGCAGATGAAAACCAGCAGTCAAAATTGACAATGGCCAAAATTGATGGCCAGAATTGATGGTCAAAATTGACAGTAAAAATGGACAATGGCCAAAATTGATGATGCCAAAATTGACAGTGAAAATTGATGATGGTCAAAATTGACAACACCAAAATTGACAGTCAGAATTGATGACACCAAAATTGACAGTAAAAATTGATGACAGTCAAAATTGATGATGCCAAAATTGACAGTGAAAATTGATGATGGTCAAAATTGACAACACCAAAATTGACAGTCAAAATTGATGACACCAAAATTGACAGTCAGAATTGACAACACCAAAATTGACAGTAAAAATTGATGATGGTCAAAATTGATGGCCAAAATTGGTCACAGCAGTCAAAATTGACAGTGAAAATTAACAATGGTAAAAATTGACAGTAAAAATTGACAGCCAAAATTGATGATGCCAAAATTGACAGTAAAAATTGATGGTCAAAATTAACAGTAAAAATTGATGATGGTCAAAATTGATGACACCAAAATTGACAGTCAGAATTGATGACACCAAAATTGATGGTCAAAATTGATGATGGTTAAAATTGATGATGCCAAAATTGACAGTCAAAATTAACAATGCCAAAATTGATGATGCCAAAATTGACAGTAAAAATTAATGAGTCAAAATTGACAACAGTAAAAATTGATGATGCCAAAATTGACAGTAAAAATTGATGATGGTCAAAATTAATGACACCAAAATTGATGGTCAGAATTGATGACACCAAAATTGATGGTCAAAATTGACAATGCCAAAATTGACAGTAAAAATTGATGACAGTCAAAATTGACAGTCAAAATTGATGATGGCAAAATTGGTCACGGCGGTCAAAATTGATGGTCAAAATTGACAACAGCAAAATTGGTCACAGCAGTCAAAATTGATGGTCAAAATTGACAACAGTAAAAATTGACAATGCCAAAATTGATGGTCAGAATTGATGGTCAAAATTGACAGTAAAAATGGACAATGGCCAAAATTGATGATGCCAAAATTGACAGTGAAAATTGATGATGGTCAAAATTGACAACACCAAAATTGACAGTCAGAATTGATGACACCAAAATTGACAGTAAAAATTGATGACAGTCAAAATTGATGATGCCAAAATTGACAGTAAAAATTGATGATGGTCAAAATTGACAGCCAAAATTGGTCACGGTGGTCAAAATTGACAGTGAAAATTGACAATGGTAAAAATTGACAGTAAAAATTGACAATGGTAAAAATTGACAGTAAAAATTGACAACAGTCAAAATTAACAGTAAAAATTGATGACACCAAAATTGACAGTAAAAATTGACAAGTCAAAATTGATGATGGTAAAAATTGATGATGCCAAAATTGATGACAGTCAAAATTGATGGTAAAAATTGATGATCAAAATTGACAGTCAAAATTGACAACAGTCAAAATTGATGATGGTCAAAATTGATGATGGTCAAAATTGATGATGGTCAAAATTGATGATGGTCAAAATTGACTGTTAAAATTGATGATGGTAAAAATTGACGTTGTCAAAATTGACGGCCAAAATTGATGACGGTCAAAATTGATGATGGTCAAAATTGACTGTCAAAATTGATGATGGTAAAAATTGTCATCATCAAAATTGACGGCCAAAATTGGTCACGGCGGTCAAAATTGACGATGCCAAAATTGACAGTCAAAATTGACAACACCAAAATTGATGGTCAAAATTGACAACAGCCAAAATTGATGACAGCCAAAATTGGTCACAGTGGTCAAAATTGATGATGCCAAAATTGACAGTAAAAATTGATGGTGAAAATTGATGACAGTAAAAATTGACAGTAAAAATTGATGACACCAAAATTGACAGTTAAAATTGACAACACCAAAATTGATGATGCCAAAATTGACAGTCAAAATTGACAACACCAAAATTGATGGTCAAAATTGACAACAGCCAAAATTGATGCCAGCCAAAATTGGTCATGGCGGTCAAAATTGATGATGCCAAAATTGACAGTAAAAATTGATGGTGAAAATTGATGACAGTAAAAATTGACTGTAAAAATTGACAATGGTAAAAATTGATGGTCAAATTCAGTGGCCACAACTGACAACAGTGAAACTTGCTGACCAAACTTAATGGTTAAAACACATCTTGTGCATCTGCAACAGGTTCAGCTTATTGAAAACTGGTGGTCAAAATTGACAATGATGAAAATTGATGGTAGAAATTAGTGATCAATACTCACAGCCAATAGTCTGCAGCCTCATTCTTTGGAGGAACTGTGTTCTGGTTGATATTGGTGTTAGCTGTTGTTGGTGGCCAACATTGGTGGTTAGGATTGATTGGGGAGAGCCAGTATCATTATAAGCAACCCAAATTAAACATGTTCAGATATTCTGCTGTGCTATGCTTAAAGACTGTGGAGCTTCAGCAGTGTCTCAAGCTCCAGGCTGGGAAAAGAGACTCAGCATTGACATGTCATGACACATCATACATATCTCTGGGTGAGAGGATCTTCCTCCTTGGATGAAAGGCCATGGGCGCCATACCAATGGTTGATGGCATCAGAGGATATGCTGGCACACATTTGGTAGGGTGCTAATATTAGCCAGTTGCACTATCACCAGGCTGAAGGCTCATTGGTGCATCTGACTGCTGAGTATTCAGCATCAACATGACTATAGTGGGAGATATGATGAATGGCTTTCAGCTGAAATTGCTTTGATTGGATCTAACTACTGATCTATTCAACTCTGCAGAATGAATCATCTAGAACAAACAGTCATGGTTGTTCCATATATTTCTAATGATATCCAGACATCTTGATAGAAGTGCTGCATGGTCCTTGGGTGTTTCTTTTTAAATTTCATGGCCATGTGGCTATGCTGGGCCTCATACTGTATTCAGATCAATCACATCTTGAACTATGTCAGCCTCTCTCTGTAGTAACATTGCCAGTTTATTGAAACTCTTCTGCATTGCCTGCTGGTTAAGAATGTTGCTTTTGACCTGGATATCTCTGCACACCAGGTGGTAGATGTACATGGCCTTGTTCATCTGCCTGTAGTGGCGGATGCATGTCTTGCCCTGGGCCTCATCCCTCTTCAACCAGCTCAGGCTCAGCAGGATAAGTCAGAAGGCACAAATACAGGTATAGCTCATGTCTAGAATCTCCAGGGTGCTGATCAGAATGCCTGGACTGGCATCAGTCTCAC